GCTTAAAAGCTAGATTTTGAATACTGTTTTCAGAAGTGGATCAATAGACTTAAGAAACGCATTCAGATCAACGGCGATTATAAAGAGAAAATAAAAAAGGACAAAGACTACGAATAAATACAAGAAGATTTTTTTTGCTTTTTTTTCTGTTCAACTTACCGAACTTTTGTTAATCCCCTCGTAGTTGCTTAGTTAACTTATATTTTTAATTCATACTTTATTTTTCACTAGATTATTTGCCGACATCGACATTATTAAAACTAAAGTGTCTAAGTTTCAGCGGTGAACTAGAATTATTTGCCACTATTTAATAGAAGAACCAGCAAATGAAATTAACTGCGTTTTATACATACAATATATGCTTAAACGAGCTTATACTCGATATCCATTTGTTTATTGCTTCCATTAAAATTATCGTATTTATGGCATCGATGAATCGCTTGTCTCTTTTCCCTTTTGGCAAAAAATTGGGACAATCGATTATGACAGGCCAATTCTTAACTAGTCAAATCATTCCCCACAGACAGATAAAGAAGGTAATCACTTGGAACGAGGTCCGGACTATAAGTTGGATGCATAAAAACCTCCCAACCAATCACTCGTAGCTCTTGGAGTGTCACACAATTGATGTGATTCGTTTGGCTTTATCCTGATGAAACACAATTCCTCTTCTGTTGGCTATCACGTAGGCCTGTTGGCAGATTGGGAGATTCAAATTAGGAACTTGGTCGTAGGGGAACAGCTTATAGTAAATAATTCCTTGCCAATCCCAGCAAATACATAACAAAATCGTCCAGATAGTCAATCTTTGCTTGGAGTTGTCCGCTTCTCACCACCAGTCACCATCTGCTTCAGAAATTCATGAGGTTCATGACTTTTTTTTATTGTTAACTCATGCGGCTTGTTTGTGTATCCAGCTTTTTACAAGTCCATTTTGTTCTGTTATTGCTTAGAGAACTCATAGGTTTATGTAAAAAACCTGAAACTCAAATGCCGTCGGCATAGCCGTTGCTAGTAGCGTAAGCAGATCAGCAAGATGTTGGATGCCAAAGATCAGTTCACTTGGAACATGCTGAGTGGTCAAGCATTCTATGACCAAAATTTTTCTATTTTACGAGAAATCTCTTGTTTGAGATTTTTAGAGGTGGTGCGTGCTGTCATTCGGTAGGTCAAAGTTCGAGCCCTGGTCTAACCAACATCCTAAAATTATTGAAAATGATCAAAAAAGTTAAATTGCGGTCGCATTTGTATGAGGTCTAGTCCCAGTTTACAATTCCAGAATAACCCGAGGAAACGACTGGTAGCCGAGTGGTTAGCATTGTGTACTAACATTCGGAAGGCTCGGGTTCATATGCCGGTGTCACCAACATCCAAAAGTCAAGGAAAAATAATTTATATAAAATAAAATATTAAGCTAAATTTTCTTATTGCGGTCTGACCTCGGCAGGAAATGTCAACGCCTACGAGTGTATTTCGGACATGAAATAATGGCTCCTCGTAAGAAAACCATCAGCCTTTCGGTGGCGGCTTAGTTTTAATTGCAGGTCCCTCCATTTGTTGGTAAAACATCAAGGCCCAAAACCACAAGTTGGAGGAGGATCTCGGCCGAAAAGTCGCTTCAGCGGTTACAAAGCGCCAATGATAGAATTTATGACATAACATGGTGTACCTTAATTAATTTTTCATTTAAATGGAACAAAGTGGGGAAAAGCTTTCCAAGCAAAGATTCATAACGTAATCGTTGAATATTTCTCAAACTGATTTTGGGAATGCTGTGGGTCTTATAAAAATTAAGATCCTTTCAGTTTAAAGATCGGATATCATCGGAACGATTGGATTTTAATCGCCTCCTACGGCAGACATGCTTCACTGAGAATAAGTTCACGAACCACTAATCCGCAGGGGCCGTCTTTACAAACGATTTCAAATGTATAAACGAGCATAGCTTGGTGCATCGGTAAGTCCTGTTGGTTTTTGACTAGAAATGAACTTAGTTAAATGAAATATAATGCCGAGTAAGAAGTAATCCAATATTTTTACACAAAGAAACACGATTTGCATGGATGCAACATGAGTTAAGGAGAATAACCCTTATATACCTTATTTACATATGTGAATCGCTGATGAATCGTAAAAAAATAGAAACATTTCTAAAGCGGAAGGTGGCTGGTGAACTGTATCACTTACAACAAAGTTAAATGAAACCGATGATAGCCGAACCCCAGAAAGGTTTTGTTGTGTGATTGGTGGGATTGGCAAGAAATCAAGCACTATGAGCCGCTCCCCTTACGGCCGAACTATTCATTTGGACCTGTACTCATAGTGATTAGCCAATTCCCAGAAAGACCTAGCTTTGGTCAACAGAAGAGGAATTGTATTTAATTCGAACATCATTTGAACACACACATCGATAGTGACTAGCCAGAAGCTCGGAGAGCGTGGTTTGGAGGTTCTCGTACATTCACCTCGTGGTTCGAACCTCGCACCACGTGATTGCCAGTTGATCCTGTATATCGCGAAAGATTTGGATTATAAAGAATTGGGCGAAACCTGTGAAAATCGATGGTCACAACTTGGTGCCAGTACAAACAGGATTTTCTTTGAGAGAGACATACGGACTACTCTAATTTTTATAAAAAGCAATGAATTTAATGAAAAAATAATTGATAACTTGTTACTTGACCAATATTAACGCCTTGAACACTTTCGACGTATCCAAAATTCTCTAATTTTCAAGTATGCATGTATATATGCATTTATATGCACAATAAATTCTAATACTCATTTATTAAACTTTCGAAACGGTTAATTATAAATCGCTTATGACCAACGCCTACGAATTAAGCCAAAAAACAGAAATTAAATGCAAATTAGTTATACCCAATGTGTATGGGAGTATATACAATAAATGCGCACAACTACAAACATATACGAGTATACGTATGTATTTGTATATATCAATGTATGCATATATTTCTAATCAGGTATATGTAGGTATATATGTGCGTTTATTTTAGTTCATTAATACCGCCACTCCGCATATATGTACATACATATTGCAACGAAAGATCCTCTGCTGTTTAACTCAAACTTAATTTCATTTTTATTAGCCACACATTTGCATTCGCCGCTAAATTCATACTCAAGCTTGTTAAAATTTATTAGTATTTCTTGTTAATTTTCGGCAATCGCTTTTAATTTAAGATGCATTAAAACGTGTTCTCAATCTTAAATTTATTTAACAGTGTTAATTTACTGACATATTTGTTTGTTTTTTTTTTCTTTTGTTTTCGGGGGAAATCCTTCGTTGGATTACATATTCGTAAATGTATGTATGTATGTGTGTGTAGCATAATAATTACTCTTTTATTTATAACTTTAAGTAGGTTGCCGTCAGCCGGTAAATACTTTATGATTATTTAATAAAGAAAAAGAGAGAAGTCATTTAATTGATTAGGAATTTTATAAAAAAAAATATCAAAAAAGAAATAAAATAAAAAGATATCAATAATTTGCAATGTACCTCAAATAATGCGCTCTATGAAGTACGGTTACGTAAAGCATTCAAAAAATGCAGACTTAACTCGATAGCTTAACTTCATTACCGTTAAGATACCAAATTAATCGATCATCTCTTAAGAAGACCATATTGAACCGTTTACAGGTGTGCACAATTGAAAGATCGAAGAGAGACATTATCATTCCCAGAGAACTCAAATAGCAAAGGGTAATGAATTCCCTCGGCCGCGGTAGCCGCGTGCCTAGCAAGGAGTCGGCCTCTTGCCAGACCAACGTCCAAAATTATGGAAAATTAAATAAAAAAATTAAATAAATAAATAAAAAATAATCTTGTTTGTACGAGCGCCACTTGGTAGGAACAGCAGCCCCTCCGAGTGTATTTTCGGAATGTTATAAATGCACCTTTTGAAAGTCCTTTTTTGTCTTTATTAGGTCCTAATGGGCATTGAATACAGTAAGCATTAAACCGACTGAATTGGCTAAAGAGAACTTAACCATAGACTTACAGGCTGTACAGGAAATGAATATTGCACTCGAAACGCTCATGTTTCAACGGCTTGTCGAGGCTAATAGGATTTGAGAACGAAAAAATCGCTGCAGAATAGAGAAAACTACGTGTAAGGCAGAAAGACTGGCTCACCAAATGCGAGGGAAGCGAAAGTACAGGTTAAAATCTGTGAGCGCCTGTCATACAGGTTGGCCTTTTTGAGTAAAAAAATGCTGCGGGATCCTCAGTAATGGATGAAGGGCAAAAGTGGCTGATGTAGCCGATCCCAAATCAGTCCGTGCGTGTCATTAGTACAAATCCTGACCAGTGCAATAACCAAAATTATAAAAACCCTTTTCTTCCGAATTTCAGCTGGCAGAGAATGTCAAATCCTTCGAGTACATGTCTGGCATGAATTAAAAACTGCTCATAAAATTCCCTTAGCCGTTCGGAGTTGGCTTAAATACTCATAAGCTTCTTCTCTTGTTTGAAAAAGGGTTAAGCGGTTACAAATAACCAGTTACTCATAGGAGGTGTAAGAATTGGAGTAGTACAGAGCCGAGGCCAGATCAGTTCAACCCAATATGAGCTGTGGATGGAGTTATATGGAAAAATTTAAATTTGAAGTTTCCAACATTGTCGTAAGCAACGCTTCAGCCTTACTAAGATTAGTAATGCCTCCAACTTTGTGTCTTTGAACCTGACTAGCTGCGCTCGTGCTCTCTTTCAAATACTCTCAACCAAAATAAGGTAGAATAATTGGTTTTTACCAATAAGATTGGCAGTTCTCGTTCTAAAACATTACATATGTATATATTTATATTTATATACATTGATTGCTGCCTTTAATTATTCAAAAGCTTATCATAAATAATAGAAATAAAAATAAAAATAAATTTTTTTAATAGATTTTAAGGTACATAGCCCTTACTAACTTCTATGAAAGAGATAGAAACATTTTTTTTTCAGTTCTTAAAAAGATTTTGGCACATACCTTGACTGAACAGCGGTTTTGTAGGTGCAAAGAGCAAACAAAAATTTAAAATTCGTTTTTAAAACAAAATCCACTTGAAACACCGACGGCTTACGGAAGCACACAGTTTGCATTAAAGGTTAAATCTTTTAGAAATCATTCACTGCGGTTACTTTTTTTTAATTTTCAGATATTCCCGCACATTTCAAACAACAAACGACACTTTTTTTGTTTTATAAATTTCATTAAAATAATTTTTTTATTTATTTTTATAAAAGGCACTTTAGAGATCCATTATTGAGATGGCGAATTCCTATGAAATGTCAATTGGCAACTATATGCCCACACAATCCACGATTAACAAAATGTCCGAAACGCTTTTCGAAATTCACTTCAAAAATTCACGCTAACTCAAGCGTAACGTGAAATAAAAACGTTTTTTGGCGTGGAATTAACGCGACTCTGACAGACAATCGATACCTAAATACCAAACACACTCGCTCACTTACTACCGCACCGCGCCAATGTCGCAAGCGAACTACTTGACGAAGCGTCAAAACGAACGGCTGCTCTCCTCAAACAACAAGTTAGCAGCGGCCAGCTATAGCCGGCCAAACCAGGTGAGTTGGCGGGCAAGTGCATGCATTCATACTCACATGCATATGTATGTATGTACATAGGTGCAACAGTATGCGCCGGTAGATTAACTTGCTTACGTAGTGGTGATGGCGTTTACATTTCAGTTGATTTGAACAGTAAATAAAGCAAGAACAAATAAAAGAAATACAAACCGGTTTGATTGTTTTACATTTATCATTACTTCTTTTCAAAGTCAAGTGGGTTGTGCCCAAAATATATGTGGATTTCCCTCTAGACTTCCCACTCACACACATTGTTCGTGAATGGGCGATTCGAATGAGTGGGTAAAAGAAATTTCGCTTTTTTATTTTGAATTAGTATATTGAGAGAGTTTTATAGTTGCTTGTTTAGGCTGGAGAGTGCAATAGCGATCAGTTAATAATTGTAACAATCCAATCAATCTTGGGGGAGCCTATGCTCTCTCGGATATCCAACGAACCTGCCGTATAGTGAACAGGTGTGCGAGGTTGATAGGTGTCTGTATGTGTGCCATGTATCTATTGATCGCATTTGCGTGATTCTCCTTAAATTAGTGTTGCCGGACCGGCATTTCTTAACCATTTTTTAAGCTCCTTATTTCTCTAAATGAAAGGAGAGAGGCTTTCTAACTTCGTTTTTATTCTTTTGCACTTATGAATTCAATGAGATGAGATATTAAGCGAAATTTCCGCCGGGGATAAATATATTTTGAGATTTATTTCAATTAAATATTGCTTTTGTTGTAAGATTCGTATAACTGAATTACATAATAGTTAAGTAAAATTTATTAAAGTGTATGGTCTAATTAAAATCCAAAGGACGTTGATCGTCTTTCATTAGTGAGTTAATGGTTTTTTAAAACTTTGAAAACTTTAACTACTATTGAACGATATGTAGAAAGTCTGGGAGTTTATTTTAACGAGCAATATAATTTGAAAAATGTTAGGTCGATGCGTTCGTAAGACTACCCTCTATTGATAAGGGATAGGCTTTGATATCTTCATGGTACTTCTATTAAAATTTTTCTAACATAGAAAAAGTCAAGGTAAATTTATACGTTCGTTTGTTTGTTCCAAGTGATTTCCGAAACTCATCGGCAGATTATTTTGAAAATTTGTCAGTTGGTTTTTAAGGTTCTTGGAAACGTTTGCTCGAAAAAAATTGTTTTGCGGACTAGATCAGTGTCCGATTTACTTGTAACTCGGTACATTGATGGTTTTTTGCTAAAAAAGTATTATAAAGAGTTATTTATCTACAGGTTATTCTAAGCCGCCGAAGGAGTTTTATGAGGACCTTCAGTTTCTTGTCAAAAATACACTCGGAGGTCTTAACTTTCTTAACCAATACTTGCAACTTTTAGAATGGTAGTACGTAATGCTTACCATTCGACTTTTGATTCCGCTCGGTATTTTGACGCCAATTATAACCAATTATAATAAAAGTTTGACAAAATACAGAAAGCTGCAACAGTATATGGCCGGGTTTGAATATCAAATTAAATTGTTGTAACGAAATAAAAGAGCCTTATAGTTTAAACTTCTTGTAGATACTTGAATTTGTAGTATTTCATCGTAATGGGCGGTTAATACAAAATAGTACACATATTTTGATAGCAGGGTTGATACTTCTGTGTTTTATACGTTCCGAAATCATCGATCTTACTTTCTCGTCGTAAGGTTTCCTTATATTAACACTAGGCGAATGTTATTGATCAGTAATGTCGCTCAATAGTTGGTCACAGAAGTCAACGGAAGAAAGTAGAGGTTAACGCAAGTCAGCATAGATAGAAGTAGGTGTAAAGAAGAAACCGACATACCATTTAAGCCGACAAACCATTGAAAGAGCTGTATCAACGCCGGAATAGACAAAGTTGTAAAATAAAACAAAATTAAGGACAAAATTTCTAATTTATATTATTGTTTTGAGAGAATGTTTAACTAATATTAATATTCCTTACATACACGGAATTTCGTTCTAGCAATCTACCCGCTGTAATTATTAAATTTAAAATAAAATGTAAAATTCATATTCGCAAAATTTATACAATTTATAATATACTTTTCAACTAAGAATTTTGGTGCAGAAGAAATTTATAATATAATTATTAATTTCAGAAATATTGTTTTTTAATCAACACTTAATTAAAATATTTATTGAAACATTGTATTACATTTGCTTTCGAGCTCTTATTAAAAATCTACTCAGATAAGAATAAACAACTTAATACCGGTGTAACTTTGTTAAACATATGTACATACATAATTCTTTATATATCTTTGTATTTAAACCTTTTCAACCTAAATGTCTGGCAATACTATTAACCACATGCAAATAACATCTTCACGTTCCTTATTATAGTACCCGATGTGTAGTCTCCATACAATTGATTGCATTGCTATTCCTACTTTTACTCTGTCACACACTCTTTCATTATAACTTAACTCCGCCTTTTTCACTATAAAGCTTTGACTGCTGCGATCAGGCAATATGGCAGCCACCACCAATAGACGCACAGCAACGCGTCAACTTTACTCAAGCTCTAACAGAAATGGCGGACGATGTTGTACGAAGCATTGGACAATAAAGTAGGAATTACTGTTTATTTTGTCAATTTGAGGAGTACGAGTACGTGAGTGAGAGCCATCAACCGTTAATATGAGTGTGGCTGGTTTCATTGTTGTTTAACATTTAACCGGCACGCTTTTCAACAGCAATAATTGCAGTAGCCGCTAGCTTTCGTGTAATGTTTGTTTACATTGTAGACTTGGCGGTAAGTATATATATTTGTACATATCTATGCAGGCATATATAGATGTATCTATGTTTCCCATTATGTGAATGAATGATTCGGCATTTTTGCCTTCTTATGCAATAAATTGTAAGCAACTTTGTATTATAGGTAATAAAAGATGGCGTTTGTGCTTGCGACATACCTTTATGTACACAAATATATTTACCATATGAAAGTAGGTAGGTACTCCCTAAGGGTAATGGTATAAAGGTGAGTTGGAGGTCACGCTGGTGTTAACTTTTGCTTGTTTTAAATTATTTTGCACGCAAAGTTCACAAAAAAAAAATCTCTACACATTGTAGTTGTTATGTATTTTTATTTATTTATTTTTTTTCTATATCTACTCATTGCGTGCTCTATTGTCGCAATTATGCTACACCAACACTTGATTTGCACGCAAATATATATATTTGAATAAAGTGTGTAGATAATTGAATAAAGTTTTGCCCATAGAGGAGGCGAAACAATAAATTTGATTAGTCAAGCTAAGTGGCAAAATGGTAGATCGCATGTAAATTGATGTGCTGCTATTAAAGTTCAACTTCTGAGAAAAACTTATATTATATATATATTCACATGTACATACATGGCTTTATAGAACATGATGTATGCCATGAACAAAGGTGATTTTCTAAAGTCAAGTAGATATACAAAGTGAAGCTAATTTGGAAATTAGGAAAGAAGAGTCACAATTAAATAATGAGACTTATTCCATAAAAACCATATATTTCAAAACTCTGCCGGCCCCTAAAAGTAGTCCCCTGCTGTAGTAGTAGCTGCCCATACAACGATTCCTGCGCGTTTTCCATGCTTCGTAACATTTCTGGACACTTAGACTGGGATGACCGCGAGTACCCTGGTCACGGACGCCTGGATGCCCTAAATAGACTCAAAAGAGGTTCCTTTGACCACCGATTTTGATCTAGGAAACAAGAAAGGTAACAGGGTGACATATCGGATGAATAAGGCGTTTGATGCAATACGGCAATCCCTTTAGTGGAAAAATACCGCAACACTCTGAGGGCGGGCTGGAACGGTGCGTTGTCGTGATGTATGAGTCAGTTACAAGCGATGTCTGGACGAACCCTGTTGACCCGTTACCGCAATCTTTCGAGTACTTGGTGACAGTAGCCTTGCTTTACGGTTTGCCCCGGTAGAAGAAGCTCTTTGTGGATGAATCCACGGCTATCAAAAAAGGCAATAATCATCGCTTTCAACTTCGACTTGCTCATGCGAACTTTTTTCGGGCGGAGGGCGTGCACCATTGTGAGCTTTGGCCTTGCGATGCTTTGCTCTTGATTTTGTTTTTCCGATTTCGGGACGAGCACCACGAACACACGTTCAAGCAACACGACAAGCTAGAGCGATGGCAAATATATCAATGGGGAGGAGAATGATGCCGGGAGAAGGGAAATGGAGTTTCAAGGTCCCAGGGTTACCATAATCACAGTATCAGTCTCATTACTTAATTGTCACACCTCTTATTGTAAAGGCTCTCAGAACGAACTTTTATTGGGCGAGCACAAACACATAAAAAAAGTTTAGTTCATCTAAAAAAATGTCATTATATACAGGGCTTGTAAGATATTTGGAAGGTCAGAGTTCGAGGTCCAATCCGACTATCATCCGAAATTAAAGAGAAGAAGCCAATACATCCGAATATATTTCTGACATTAAGACTCTTCATGACAGTCCATCGGCAGTAGGTCCCTCCATTTGTTAGAAAAAATCATTAAGGCGAGGTTCCTCAATAAACGTTTTTTCAAACAAATTTCATTTATTAAAAAAAATATTTATAAATCAAAGTTTTTGTAGATAAGTAGACGTATAAAAATATTAATAAAAAATATTTTCTTTTTAAATGCCGGCTCTTATAATTGCTGCTGAAACACGTACTTTTTGTTGAAGAGTGAATCGATAACTGTAAAACGAATCATCTGAACGCAAAAACCGAAATGGTTTCTTATTCGGTATCATATTGGCTATGGCAAGAACTACAATGAAACAATTTTACCAACAAAAACGGCTGACTTTTTAATTTTTTTACCTTTTTTTTCAATTTCAACTGCTTACAATTTTTTTTAAAATAACA